CAGCAGTTTTCCAAAAACTGTTGCAGTTACTTAAACGTGTTGCAACTGCCTAGGACGGTTAATATGGATATATATCACCATATTTCGTACAGAGGAGAGTGGAGGATTACATCCAACCTATCTTCATCACTTTGGCACTCAAATTAAAGATAACAATCCATATATTCGACTAGTTTGGCTCTAGTTCTTGTGCCTGAGTTCTAGAGTGACCTTAAGGATTATCCTAGATTGAATTTCTTGTAACCCAGGCATAGGGGAGAAATATCAATTCGGAAAGTGAACTTACACGATCCTTAAGTAATACAAGTACTTGATTATCACCCCCTATGTGATCTACACCCCAACACATCTCATCTCTTTCGCATTCTTCAAAACATAGAAACATTACTTCTCATAATCATCAATGACATTAGAAAATAATGTCTCAGCCTCCAGATCATTATCATTTCCATCAAATCCCTATTTTTTTCATACTGGAGAAATCCAGCTATCATACTTGTTTCTCCACCTCTGAGTAAGAACAATTACCATCAATGGATCGCGGAAACAAGACATGGTTGTTGCGCTGGAATTCAAGAACAAAGAACATTTCACCTTTGGAACTCTTCCTGTCCACCAAACTCTTCCTTGCGCTGGATCCATTATCAGATCTTTGGAAGCATGCAACCGGATGGTCATGTCATGACTGGTTCGCTCAATGAGTCCCTCTATCAAACAGTGTGATGTGGATGGACACAACTTCAAAAATATGGAAAGATGTTCAAGAGCGTTTCTCACAATCAGACAAGTTTCGTATTGCAGATCTTCAAGATCATATTCAAACCGTTGTGCTCTTCTGTGTAATTGTACAAAACCCTGCTCTTCTGACCTAATTAAAAAACTCGACACTTTTTAGCTAAACTTTAAAAACCCTGCTCTTTCGCCGAACAATTTCGATAAACACACGAGCTATAAAGGGTTGATATAACTTAGAAGTAGCTAACATCAATCTCTTAATGGTTATCTTATCATCCCCACAATGGAAAACAATGCCTTGAATCCTCTGAGATTGTCTCAGCTAGCATCGATCGTTAGGAGTCTTCTTCAAGCTCAAACTCAATCAAAAAATGCTTCAAGTTAAAGAGTTCAAATAGATTTTTTTCCACAAAACCCCTATGTTGAATATGTTGTTTTGTTGATGACTAACCATACAGGAACAGAGAATGGAACGAATTTGTTGTTTTGTTGATGACTAACCATACAGGAACAAAGGATGGAACGGGTCTATAAAACATATGTGATCTATGTGCTGGATAGACCTGGTCTATAAACATATGTGGCTACTCGTTATGACTAATCATGCAGAAAGTTAAATATGGAATGTTGCATGACTCTCGTTAACTGGCCTACATGCATGACTCAAACTATGGCATTCGCATAACTTGATTTTTTAAGTATGGAAATAATATTTATGAAAGAAATATCCTTAAGAAAAAGGAAGGACTCTTTAAATCGATTTTATTTTTGAAAAGAAAATTCCTTTTTGACCAAAGCCTGCCTTTAATACCTTTTTCCTTATTTACCATTCTCATACTTGGTACGTAAGATCTTGAATGACTTAATTGTGATTGTCTTATATATGGAGCCTTGGTAGAAAAGGAAAGATATTCAAAACGAATTAAGGCAAGTCTCTCAACGGCTCACCTATCCAGAAGCCTATATAATCGAGAATCAAAAGAAGGTGAAGGGTGCTGAACCGAGAAAAATACTTAGAAGAATCATTCAAGAAAAGGATCAAGTCCTTGGCGCCTGAAACTGCCCGCTCGGAGTTCTAGATAGAGTTTCTCTTTTCCCTTTCATATTGTACTTGGAATATTGAGGCTTAATTGGCTAGAGTAGCTGCCTCGGGTTAAGTGTGTGTGAGAGCTTTGTGACAAAGCTGAGAGGCTCTCTACCCGCAAGGTAGAGATGCATAACTCTTCCTAGAGAGGATAGAGTTGGGGAGGCTCAAGGGTAGATTAGGAGAATCACTCTTGTAACTCTTTCAAAGGCTTGTTTAGTGAAGTTGTTTAAAATTCCTCCGAGGGAGGTCGAGGTTTTTTAATCCCTTTGAGCCAAGGGATTTTTCCTCGTTAAATTCTTGTGCACTTTACTATTTTGCAATTCCCTTTATCCCACACTAGAACTCGGTGAAAAACTGTCACGGTTCCACACACACACAATTCACCCCCCCTCTTGTGTTGCTAACCGTTTTCATCACCCTATATTCATGAAGCTTTCCTAAATGCCACCAACGATGGCCTCCTAGAGGCGTAAGATCCACGAGCGCATGAGTATGTTTTTTTTTACAAGAATTTCCACTTATTAGTGTAAACTCCACCACAAGCTAAGCTTGTCCCTTTGTCAAGATCCATTCTTGATTGAGATATCATGATCATGCCGGCATGCCCTACTAACACATTTGCAAAGGAATGGAAGGGGGCAGCAACCCCCACCGTTATCTTTTCCTAGTTCTTGAGTAATGTATTAGCAATCTTTAATACTATTGTCTGCTCTAGCTTCTCACGTTAGTCACCATTATAATACTACCTCGCCACCTCTTTTCTTGTAATACTACTCCCAAAATTCTATAGTTTTCCCGCCCAAAATCTTTCCTTACTATTTTGTTATTAAAGATATAATATAGATTTGGTAATATTTATGTGGCTATACCTATAAGAATAAAATAATTATAGAGAATAGATAAAGTGAGAATAAAGTAAGAAAAAATTAGAGACACAAAATATTATCAAATATAATATGATACAAATTAGTGATACGGACGGAAAAGGAAAAATGGAACAATTATAGTGAGACAGAGCGAGTCAGTGAGTACATTTTAACGTTAGACTCAATGTCATCTTATTTACATTTTAATATTAACCACATTATAACATTAGTTACACATTTTAATATTAGCCACATCACCATATTAGTTGCTACATACATTTCAAATCAGGCACATTTTCTTATTACTCAAATCCTAATATTTATTAAATTTTAATATTAGTCACATCTAATATATGTTACATTTTAATATTAGTCACATTATCATAGATTAACCACATTATCACATTAATCCAGGATCAGAACCGGGACAAGACGAGAACTAAATCCATGCCTAGTTGTCTGCACATGCTGTCCTCCCCTAAGCATAAATAATAGCTACATATATTTCTCGTTTATTTACGTAAGCAGTAGCAGTGCAGCACAAGTTGATCTTCTACTATAATTTTGTTCCCGATTCTTCTAAGAAAAGATGTATTCCATTGCCAAAAGGGTTGTCAACTTGTCAACTTTCCTTTTCAGTCAATGCTTTTGGCTGTGATCCCTACTTTAAACAATATACTTTAATGAGATTTACTTATAATTCCTTCAACTTTGTGAGAAATGATTTCGATAGTGCTGGACTCGGGCCGGGCGGCCCGACCCGGAACCGGCCCAGCCACTGTTTGAACCAGACCAAACCGGTGGCCCAGCCCAGGGGCGGTTCGGGTCGACCCGGCTCACTAGGGTTCGGTTCCGGGCCCGGGCCCTCCATTTGGTGAACGGTCCGGGCCGAATTTAATTTTTTTTTTAATTTTTGGGTTGGACTGGGTATTTTGGGCCATTTGAGGTGGTTTGGGGTGGTTTGGGGGTGAGGGGAGAGGGTTGGGGGTTAAATAGGAGAAGCAAAAAAAAAATTACAAACCGGGTGGCCCGGCCTGGGCCGCCTGGCTCGGAACCGGTGGCTACCGGTTCGGGCTCGGGCCCAACAAAACAGAACCGCGAACCGGCCGGGCCCGAACCAGCCCGAGGTCACCTCTAGATTTTGACAAATACTAATTTTGATGTTACATATTCTAAATTATTGAGTAAAGATATACTTTCGTTCGGTAATAAGTGCAACATGCACTTGGGCACAAGGATTAAGAGACCGCGAAAAGGTATTGGACTTCACGGTTTTACCCTTCCAAATAGGAAAGTAATACCTGCCAGTCTGCCACACAAAGAAAGTGCTACAGTGACTGAAGTGGGATAAAATTATTACAGCCAAGAAATAAAACAGCAGGCCCGAGTGTATTGCTCACTTACGGAAGACGCCCTTTCTCACCTACTCCGGTTAGGCATGGACCCGGTTCGGGCCGCCCGGCCCGGGACCGGCCCGGCCCGCCACTGTGCGAGCCCGGAACCGGCCCGGTTCTCGGGTCCGGGTCCGGGTCCGGGTCGGGCCTAGGCCCGGTGGGGTGGGCAGGTCCGGGCTCGGGCCTTGTATTTGGCGAACCGGCCCGGCCGGGTCGGGCCCGGGCCCGGGCCGAATTGATTTTTTTTTAATTTTTTTTTCTTTTTTTGGGGTTAGCCAAGTTGGGCTTGATGGTTAGGAGGGGTTTGGGGGGGTGTGGGGGTGAGTGGGGGGGTTAGGAAAGCAAAAAAAAAAAAAAAATTATAACCGACCCGGAGGCCCGGCCCGACCCGGCCCGGACCCGGACCGGACCCGGTGGCTACCCGGGCCAATCCCGGGCCTTCCTTCCCAAAAAAAAAGCCCGGCCGGGCCCGGGCCCATGACTAACTCCGGTAAGCAACTCCATCCTCCACCCTCGGGCCTCGGCGTGAAGCCAGCTCTGCACCCCCTTGTCCACTTCGACTAGCAAGCCCGGACGCCGCAGCAGTTGCCCAGCACCTAGAGGCCACCATTACCACCGTGCCTCTCAGCTTGTGGAGGAATAACCGGAGCAAAATAGGTTTCATGTCTGTCCACGTCTTCCGTTTTGGCCATAATTAAAATAGAAATCAGAAAAAGGAAAAATAAATGAAGAGATGATACAAAGGAAAGAGCAAAGATCTGTAAAGAAGAATGGAGTAATGAGTGAGTGGAGAAATTAAAAAAAAAATAAAAAAAACGGAACAATAAGGGCAGTTTAATATGGAAGGGTATAGAAGTCAATTGACTTAGAATTTCCTTCCCAAAATAGAAACGTTGCATTTAATTTGAAACTGACGAAAATAGAAAGTGTTGCATTTATTAAAGAACGGATGAAGTACTACGTATTACGTAGTACTACGTATTACGTAGTACTCCATAGTAGTCAGATTCATGTGTGATGTCATGATGTGTCACAAAAAATTGCTCACCATTACCGAGCATTAAGTTCCAAATTGATAGTTCTAAACTCAAATACTTGATTCTTAAAAGTAGAAACTTGTAAGATTTTTTTTTAATACAACAGCGATATTCTGAATTGGTAGAAGCAAATATCTATCAACGTTTTTCCACGATCCATTCCTAAATAAACTTAACAATATAATGCATGGTTCTGTAAGTTTGTAACTCCTGTTTATTCCAAGTATTCTACGACTGGGATGGAACTTGAACCCATACAAACTCTTCCTTGTAAGCCCCAGATCCTCCACAGGAGGCTTCACAAGTGTATACAACCATAGTTGCCCAATCAAGAGAATTTGCATCATTTCCCACATTGAAGTAGTACAGTAGTTGGGGCAAAATCTGCAATATGCAAAGACTTCAAACACAATGAACAAAAAGAACTATAAATAAACTCATAAAGCAATTCAATAAAATAGCAATCTACAGAGTAATATTTTCGATATCTATTTAGGACATGTTCATTTAGACATTCCGCACATCAGTAAAAACCTAAAACTGTTGGAAAATTTGTATTACAAATTAATACTTTAGTCACTTTGGAGCTAAAATATGTAAGGAACAACTTCTCATAATTAAAGGAACCAAGTCCAAACATATTGTAAGGAACAACATTTCAATATATGATTGGTAGAAAATCATTTTGAAATGAATGTAAATTGTCCCCAAAGTTCTCTCCGAAACAAGGTGTGTGTGAGACTTGTCCCACACTGGAAATCCTACGCAATATTGAAGGCTTTTTATAAGCCAAATCAGTGATGTCAATAGCGGCGCAATAGCGCGCTATAGCAAAATAGCGATGCGGCAGGGAGGGTAGGCGCTACATGGAGGGCTCTAGCGTGGCGTTTGGGTGTTGCGTCCATAGCGCCCGCTATAGCGCAGGTGCGGAGAAGAAAATAGCGGCCGCTAACATTGAGCCTTCTCGGAAAGATTTTAGCGTTAAATTTTTTAGCGCAGACATAGAAGGGGTTAATTAGACTTTTAAAACAAAATATTAACCTAGTTAAAACCCTTACACGACTGTTAAAGGCTATTAAAAGCTCAAAACGAAGCCAGCTTTTGAAAATAGTCAGTTGCACCTCTGCGATGGCTTCTTCTCACAGAACAACCATCATCTATTTCTGCTGCTCTGCTATTGCTTCTTCTCCAAGAACGACAGATGCTGCAACATCTTCTTCTCCAACCTTTGCTGCAGACCTGCAGTCTTCTTTTCTTCTTCTTCACGTATGGAGTCTAGTCAGTCTTCTTTTGACTCAAGATGTTTAAATTATTAATAGCATCTTATATTTTGCTTATGAAACTAAATACTCCGTAGTATTTCTAAGTAATTTAGGTGGGTGAACCATCTAGTTTCAGTAGTCTCTTTGCAGAACCTAGATGTACCTTACAGTAGTTAAAACATAAGCTTCCAGCAAGGCAAAGTGTTCTTTTTTCATATGTATGTATTACATATGCTTCTAGCAGTCACTTATCTATTATATTTGAAAGTACTCCGAATAGCTGTCGTCCCGCTATCCGCTATAGCATTTTTGGGGCTGCCCGCTACGCTCCGCTATCTGGGATTGACAACGCTGAACCAAATGTTAATATTGGGTTGGGCCAGTAGGGGCACGCAAGTCTTGGATGAAATTACACTTCATGGGAGCCGGCGAGCCGCCATCCGTCAGGTTGGGTAGGGTTTCGGGTATGCGTGACTACCCACATGGCTTTAAGACTTAAATGTCATTTTTGAACAATTAATTAATTTTGGATTTAAATGTTTTTAAGATAGCTCGACACCTTTCTAAACAAGTGCCTTTTTTGGATTAGTCTCCTAACCAGAGCACTATCTACTCCAATCGGCTTGTGCTTTTTTTAGACAGGCATAAGTCTGAAAATTTCATTAAGTTTTCTTAATCTTCCTCATCCAAAATACTACACATTAGTGCATCGTTTGGTTCGCCAGAGTCCTTCAGGAATGAAAAATCGTTCTATCTTGGAACACAATTGTTGCGGGAAAATTTCCATCATTTGCAATGGAGCCAAAGATTCATTATTTTTTGGCTTGAGAATATGACGGAATAAAGCAAAATGGCTCACTAAACTGACTGCGCTTCTTTGTTATGAAGCAGCAGTTAGTCCATACAATTTTGGATGCGATTTTCACTATGGGCCATCAGGAAACATGCTTTAGCACAGGGGTAAGACTGCGTACATCCGACCCCCCTTACCCCACCGTAGGTGGGAGCCTTTGCGACATTGGGGTAAATCAAAATGAATGAATGATGAGACAATAAACATTTGTTGGGCTCGGTTCATTATTCTTTTTTGCAGTTTTTTTAGATACACAAACAACAAAAACAACTAGATACGATTAAACTTAAACACAAAAAAAAACAAGAGAAAAGGGTCAAATAAAGCCTTCTACTATTATGAAATAGTCACATAAGGCCATGTACTCAATAAAGTGTCATATAAGTACCTCTACTTGTAAAAAGAGGTCAAATGAGTCCGAATGACTTATTGAACACCTCTTAATCCCGGTTTTAGCGTACTTCTAACCATTTTTTTAGAATAGATTATCCAACATACATTGAATATTTAACTAAGATTGGTTGAAATACAAGTAAAAAATCACCATGTAAGCTAAAACCAAGATTATGAGGTTGTAAATAGGTCGTTAGGACTCATTTGATTGTTTTTTACAAGTAGAGGTACTTATATGACACTTTATTGAGTACATGGTCTTATGTGACTATTTCATAATAGTAGAAGGCCTTATTTGACCCTTTTCTCTCAAAAAACAAATCCGACCACACTAGATTAGCAATAAATCATACTACATCCCTGTAGTTTATTATTTGATATGTATTCTTTTTGGGAAGTATTTATTACTTCATCCATTCCTGCTTTGGGTAACTTGTGCGGGATTTTATCTTACTTCATTTTCTCTCTCATGCCTTTTCTATTTTTCATCTACTCCCTCCCACTTTTTACTCTCTTATTTATAGGCTTCATTTTCCAGCCTCTTCTAGTCTTCTCCCACCTCTCAACACGTCTAATAAGCATAATCACTTGGTCTTCTATGCAAATGGCCAAACCACTTCAACTAAGACTCGTATCTTATCTTCACTAGGTGATTCTTTAAGCAATCATTTGTAATATTTCCACACATCCCAAACAACATGCAAATCTTAGCCACACTACCTTTTGAATGTGTCATTGTGTCACCGCCCCATGTCGTATAGTAATGCAAGGTTAATTGTTGTGTGACAAAACTTACCCTTCAATCTATCTGGCATACCTTGATCACATAGAAATCTGGACGCACTCTCTCATTTCATCCACATATTCTGATTCTATGGGAAACATCTTCATCCAGTTCACCATCCTTCTGAATTGTGAAGTCTAGATAAACGAAACATATTATTGACTGATATCTCTTTACCATTTAAGTTACTCTCACCGTTGTCATTGCTTCGACCTCCACCAAACTTACACTTAATATACTCAGTCTTGCTTTGACTCGACCACAAACCCTTGCTTAGTTGTTCTTCAAAGTTCGTTGTCATTTTTTCAGCTTTGCTTTAACACTCAATCTTGTCATTGATCAACACAATATCACCATCAATCATCATGCATCATCACATATTTTCTTGAAATGACTTCGTGAGTTCATTCATGTCTAGGAAAAAAGAAATGACTCTAAGCCAATCTTTAATGCTACTACGATAGTAATAGGAAACTCTGATAGAGTACAAACACCAACCAGAAAACTTTATTGATAATATGTTTAACTTCTTTTTTTTACTCCAGGGGGGTCTGGGGGAGGGGGGCTGGGGGGAGCCTGGAGTAATCAGGGCTGAAACTCACTCCATTGAGTTTCACACCCTTGTGTGCCTAGCGGGATTCGAACAAGAGACCTCTCGCTAGGCACGGTAACCTCGCAACCAGCTAGGCTGGAGTGCTTTGTTAAGAATATGTTTAACTTTATTGAGAAAACTTAAGAAAACGATAAAGGAATGAGATAACAGAAAGTAAGGATGAGATCTTTCGAGAGGATCTCGCTCTCCCAGTTCCGACTGAAATTCTCGGTCCCCTTCTCCTTCAGCTTCCATTTGCATTTATTCGTTTCTTTACTCTCGACTGACTATTCCCCTTCCCCTAGTCCGTTATTTTCTGCCTCCGTTTCCTTTCTCTGCTTATTTACCTTCTTGCCCCTCCTTTTATAAACTTGTGAAAAATCCCTATTAGGATTTATGTTAAATAAGGTAGTGCTCGTATCATCACCCCCCCCTTTCAAAAACACCTTGTCCTCAAGGCGTAGCTCAGGAAACATTTTCTTCAGCAACTCTCAATCTTCCCATGAATCTTCAAACTGTGGCAGGTCCTTCCAGTGAACCAGCACCTCTCGAGTTCCTGCTGCTGAAACTCTGAAATCGATTATTGCTTCTGGTTGAGATTGTAACTCCCATTCTTCTGAGATGCAAGCAGGCAGTGGTTGGCAAGGTATATTTGGGTTAACTGTCTTTTTCAAAAGTGATATATGAAACACCGGATGAACTGCACAACCTTCCGGTAACTTCCATTTATAGGCTACCGGATTAATCACTTCAACCACTTCAAATGGACCGTAAAACCGAGGACTGAGCTTCTGATTTATGCGTTTCGCCAAACTTTTTAGTTTATAGGGCTGTATTTTTAAGAATACCCTATCTCTTACTTCAAACTGAAGGTCCCTTCTATGCCTGTTGGCCTGTTGCTTCATCTGATTCTGAGCTACTGCCAAATTATGCTTCAATTCCTGCAACATTTCATTTCGCTCAGCTGTTAATTTGGACACTTCATCCACAGGGGTCAAGCTGGTATCTCCTTTGACAAAGATAGGTGGATCTCGTCCATATAGGGCTTTGAAAGGCGTGCTCTTTAGGGGTGCGTGATAATTGGTATTGTACCAATATTCCGCCCAGGACAACCACTTCGGCCACTGCTTGGGCTTATTCACTGTTATGCATCTCAAGTAACCTTCAAGACATCGGTTCACTACTTCAGTCTGCCCATCGGTTTGGGGGTGATAGGCAGTACTGTACTTCAACTTTGTCCCTTAGGGTTTTCATCAAGCTCTTCCATGAGGCAGTGGCTTTACTCAAAGCTGAATCGCCTTGTGATAGGAACCTCCAGAAAATATACAGAAAGATCAAGAAACAAAATAGAAAAACTGTATTGATGAAGAAGATGAAACAATATCGGAAACAAAGGCCGAAGCCTCCCAAATGAGCCGAAGCCCCCCAAGAACGAGAATTTGCTCTCGCTCACCCAAGTCCCAGTCTGAAACGTCTAAACAGCCTGCTCCCTAATTTCCC